GATTCGGATTGGGCATCTTGCATAGACACCAGACAATCTGTGACTGGTTTCTGTGTTTTCTTGGGAAATTCGTCATTAGTTGGAAATCAAAGAAACAACCAACAGTTTCCAGATCCTCAGCAGAAGCTGAGTATAGAGCAATGGCCAATGTCACCTGAATTAGTTTGGCTACGTGCGATTTTGTCAGATTTTGGGTTTATGCATCAAGGACCAGCATTGATCTTCTGTGATAATGAGGCAGCTCTTCATATTGCTGAAAATTCTGTTTTCCATGAGAGAACAAAACATATTGAGATTGACTGCCATTTGGTTAGAGAAAAAATCTTGAAAGGAGATGTGAAGGCCTTACATGTATCTTCACAATCTCAATTGGCTGACCTACTTACCAAAGCCTTGCATCCAAATCAGTTTATGACCTTACTAAGCAAGATGGGAATCCTCAATATTCATGCTCCATCTTGAAGGGGAGTATTAGAATAAATAGTTTTAATTCTGTTTTAAGGTCTGGATAGTTGTTGGTATTATTTTTATTCAATTAGTTTTTTAGTTGCTTCTAGAATACCTGAGGTTTGTTAGAGTTTGTTATTCTGGCCCCTTTTTCACGGGTATGAGGTGTGTTTTCTGCTTACGGTTATTCCATTCCATCTTCTGCATATATATAGATTTCTTTTGTAAACAGTGATAATCAATGAAAAGATGATTATTCCTTTATCTTGTAATATCTTTCTCTCTCTTAAAATGACACAACTTTACATCCTTTAAAATGACATACATTTTTCCCTTATTAAATTTCTCTCTGTTTTATGATTTTAGTTGTCTATCTAGAAAGAGAATCTCGAAAAATTTTAGTGTTGTCAAGTTGTTCATAATTTGTAAAGATCAATATCATATTTATTAATTTGGAAAACTTCACTTTCTCTGCACTTGATTGAGTAGCAAATTAAATTAATGTATGAAATACATTTAAAAAAACAATAATAATGCAACAGATAAAACCGCCTTACAACATTAGACATTAGCTATAACACTCACATAAAAGTAAATTGATCTACTAGTTTCTTTGTACCCCAGAAAACAATTAATAAGTCCATCACTTCAAATTCAATCAGTTTGAACACAAACAGCAAAACTTATTAAAACAAAATTGTACAAGATCAATCTAGTGCTAGGATCTTTAAAAGATGGGATTATATTTTCTTATGCAACAGGAGATAAGATATTTCATGTTACACTCACAAACTTATGTGGATCCCATTGCATAGGAAAAGAGAAAAAAAAATTGAAGCGGGTCCTACATCTTTTTGAATGTGTAGGAGAGACTTAGGGCATGTTTGGAGCACCTGATAAAGAAAATATGATAGGATAACTTACCATATCCTATTTTTATCTCTTGTTTGGTGGGTCAATAGGATATGATTAGCTTATCCTATTGTCTCATTTTATCCTATCCAATACATAATTTCTTATCCTATGGGAGGAGCTGGGTTAAGATTCAACAGGATAGGATACCAATATTGGATGCCCAATATCTCCCCACGTTACTCAATATATTTGTATTTATTGCATTATATTTTGTTTTTTATCTCTCATTTCTCCTTCTACATAATTTTATCAGATTGCTAATCAGGTGCTCATCAAACACAAGACATGATATAGGTTTATCAGCCTCATATCATATCCTACCCTTATCAGCCCTATATCATATCCTACCCTTATCCTATCATGTCCACCAAACGAGCCCTATAGTCTCCGAGACTAATATTTTCCTTAAAAGATTAACAATTACAAAGTGAAAACAAGATTTATCTCAATTTACTCACCAAACACTTTCATCTATATTCACTCCTTAGGTAAACCACCTAAAATTTTCTTCGACTAAGTTTATCATAAACTCATAATTTATTATATTTTAAATGGCTAAAATCATAACAATTAATTCTTAAATCTTTCCTAAAGCAAGAAAACTTAGCGTTATTTGGTTAGAAAACATTAATCCTTTCTATTTTGTGGGAAAATCAAGTTAAATTGGAACAATGATTGATCTAGAAGGACTTAAAACAATAAACGAGGAGCAATGATTTAGTGAAAATCTCTTTAACTTTGTTATACGGGTAAATTATTGATCAAAGATGATAGATTTGGATCTTATGTTCTTCATAAAATTGTAAATATTTCTTTATCTTTCCAACAAGACAAAGTTATGATCAAAATATGGAAACAGTGCACAACATTATCTTTCCAACAAGACAAAGTTATGATCAAAATATGGAAACAGTGCACAACAGCCTACCTTCAGGTAGCCATCACCGCTCGTCCAAGCATGTGGGTGGCTGAAAGTAGCCACTGTTGTCTGCCTAGGTGGCCCTTTTCCCCCGCTCAGGTGCACAAGTGGTAGAATGCATCGATAGTTGCCCACTCAGGTGGCCAGTTTTGCCCGTCCAATGATATAAAATATTAGATTAAATACCATTTTTTATCCTCAGCAAAATTTCACGACGCCCGCTTTAGTCCCTAGCAAATAAAAAGGCTATTCGTTGTCCTTAAGAAATTCAAAATGGACCAATTTAACTGAAATCGTGGTTCCTCACAAATTCAAAAAAAACCCACGTTAGTCCCTCAAAAGGACTAAAATGGGTCCACTTTGAATTTTTTAGGGATCATGAATAGCCTTTTTATTTGCTAGGGATTAAAGCGGGCATCGTAAAATTTGCTAAGGACCAAAAATGGTATTTACTCAAAATATTATATACTTCTAGTTCTAGCTCTAGACCATATCCTAACATTGGATTAAAATTGCAATGTAAGCTAAATGCACCTTTTATGTCTTGCCATAACACAGATAAACTAAATTATGATAACAAATGGTAGGCATGAAATATACACTAAGGAGAAAGTGTTCATCATTGAGATGAGACTATCAGTGTTTATCCTCGCTTAACTTCTTGAGATCATTATAAGATGCAACTAAATTACATAAACAAACTGCACTAATCCAAAATACCTTCTTATTTCACCTTACTTTTTAATCATTTTCACCACAAAATATTAGCATGATTTAATTCAAGAGTTCTCAACAATAAAAAAAAAAAAAAAGATTTACCAAAGAAAAAAAAAAGGGTCAACCGGTCTAACCCGGGTCACCAGGTCGCCAAGTCTCGGCCAAGTCAACCGATTTCGAATTGACTACAGAACCGGTCCAAACAACCGCTCGGACCGGGGAACCCACCGGGTCACCGAGACCCCAATCGACCTGGCCGGTCCGAGTCGGTTTCTAAAACACTGCTAGAGATAATTGACATTCCGGGATCACGAGTCGCTAAAGGTTCATGCTTTTGAGAGTCGGAGACGCATTCAAAGCAAGATCAAGCTAGGATTTGTAGAGATCCACCACACACTTATCGCGATGGAGTTTGGGAAAATTTCTATGGTTTTTGTCTTTGCTTTTGCCATGAGTAGCTAATTTCCTTTGTAATTAAGGTCAGATGAAAACCTCTATGCGAGACCCCCCAAAAAAAAAATTGTTCCAGGAGGATTTCATTTAATTACTTGAGTATGTAGGGGAGGATTTTTGTTTTTTTTTTTAAATATTCCAATCAGTTCATCATTTCGCGACTAATCCGATTTTCAGAGCGGATCTCGGAATTAAGTCTTTAAACACCTTCAAAAAAATAATATTGTGAAGAATCGAATACATATTTTTACCCGACCTGTTCATGTTACTATCTTCCAAACCCTCGATGACTTCTACGGCTTGTCATTTCAGGAGCTGGTTATATTCCTGCAAACCCATTCCATGGCATCTTGCTTTCCCTCCTAGCGAAAGGGTCTAAACAAGTATAGGCTATGGTTTAAATCCTCGAACCAGGATATCCAACATTTTCACAGTTAACAGAACCATTTTTTATTTTTATTTTTTTCTGAAAATCAAAAAACTATTTTTAAAATAGATTTTAAACAGATCTTTAATTACGGAGGCAGGGGCAGGTATGACCAAATTACGATGCGGGAAGGAGTAGAGAAATTTAAGAGTCTGTTTGATTTTGATTGTGTTCTGACTATTTTATTTTTAAAACTGTTTTTGTAGAATAAATATGAAAATAAGTCTTTTCAGTGTTTTTTACTTTTTTTGGTTTTAAAAATAAAAAATGAAAGCACAAAATAAAAACAACTCAGACATGTTCTTTAAATTTAATTTTAAAAATAAATAAACAGTTATAATTTTTAAATTTTTTTTTTTTACAAAACAGCCCTTATCAAACTGATATTTTTTTTTTCTTGAAAATAAAAAAACTAAAAAAAAAGGACCTTAACTTTTCAGGAATAAAAGCGAGCTTTCTGACCATCGCCCTGTTTCTGCACTATGCTCATCACATGCTGAAATTAAATCATCAAGGAGATAACTTGTTGCACTGCACAATATTAGTATATTACGCCACCGACATTGTACTGTATCATAAGTTTTCTCTGCTTATTTGATAATTATGATTGAAATCCAAGAAACAAAATTATGAAGAAATCCTAATCATATCAACATATTACCGTCTTAATTGGAAGTCGATTCCTAGTTCTAAGTTCATGACTCCCATCATTTATGGCAGGGGACGAACCAAGGAGAAGAGCGAAACTCTACGACGCAATCAATGTTAACAAAGAATGTAGAAGGTTGCTAAGTGCTAACACATAACTAATATGCATTAACAGGACGAAAGAGGATGTCAACGAGACTAGGTTTATCAGAAAAATGGTACATAATTTCTTTCCTAAATTTCTATAAAACCAACATTGTTGGGATGTGAGATCTTGGAAGGTTAACATTAGATGGCAACTGTGTAGGTATACTAAGTACTATCCCTGCCTAGAATCAAGATGTATCTTAGTTCCTTGTGCAAAAGTCTCACCAATACGGTACAGAAATTGTTAATTTTACAGATGCCATTGCTCGGTAGCTAATACAATCTACTGAGAAGCAAATATAAGAAAGAACAATCAGTATAATGCGTTTCCATTTTTTTTGTTTTCTATTTCTATACAAAAACAGGTATTTATATTCGTCTTATTAGCTAGAATGCAAGGCTGGTTTAAACCACACAATATGACCAATGTTCAGTATCATTACAATGCGATGATATCAACATTCTTAATGATTGGTCAAGAAGTGGACCACTTACATCACATCAGTTCTCCTTGTCTGCCAGAAGAAGTTCACTGACAGCCTCCAAATGGTCCAGATGACAACTAGGACACATGCATCTTCTTTGAAGTTCCTCACCAAGTGAGCTGTATGTTGCTTCTAATTTAGAAGACTGCTTGTTTCCAGTTAAGGACATAACTCAGCTTCACCGATGATGCTAATCAATTAAAAATCTTTAATCTACATCAATAGTACTAAAGATAACAAGAAGTCAAGAACTAGTGTAACTTGAACTGAAACAATTTGGGAGGAGGAGGGGGAATCAAATAGAAGCATACTTCTCTTTTGTACTAAAATTTACAAATTCTTTTTCTTCTGTTCTCTATTTTGATGAAATTCACAGAATATCAAGAATCTAGCGCTGAACCTCTAGATGTTGGGTAGTTATATTCTTACATTGATCAAGTTTCCCCTTTTCCAGTTACTAGGTATACCACTCAGCATGAAGCATGCCAAAGTAGTAGCTTAGAAGAACGGGGCATGCTATCAAATAATAGATTTTATATGTTAATCAACCATAACCATGAAATTGACAGATGTCATATACATCTTCAAAGGAGTGCTTTATGTGTTGTACCTGTCTATAGTACATCACCTCTATACTGATGGGATTGGGATTCTACTTTTCTCTATTAGTGAAGTTATTTTAAGAATTTAGGTTGCGTAACCTGCAAAGCAGAGACTATTAAAAAAACTGCACCAGCTTAATATTTATAAGGATATAAGGTTAGATCCTGCAATGCTTTTGTTTCTGTGACTATCATATTCATTAAAGACACCTTTCTTTCACAATCAATCAGTTCGTGCTGGACCTGCAGATTATTCTTACCTTCAGAAATGGTGAAATATAAGAAAATAAAGATATAAGGAAGGAATCTGGACCTTCCAGCATTTAATTCTCAACTTACGTTCTCATAAAAAATTTGCTCTGCTTGGTATTCCTCATCCTCTTTAGTTGTTTGAGAAATTATCGCAGAAAGCATACTTTCAAGGGCCCTTAAAGCAATTCCAGCATCATCCTCTTCCAGACAAACTAGTGGTGCATCTAAAACAAAATCAAAGTGCATCCTCAGTTTTCAGACACAAAGACATCAAATAGAAAAGCTTAATACAAAAAAAATATAGAAAGAGCAAAGGAGGAAGATGTGCACGAGCAACTAGCACGGAGGTACACTTGAATTAGGCGGAAAAATGACTATAAGGGACCAACGGTTCTCTTCTTAAACAATCTTATATCCTCCACACTTAATCAACATTTGATAGATTATCCAACCCGAACAATCTTAGTTACCGGCGGAGCTTTAGTTCGTTAGCTGGTATTTGTTTAGTCATTCCGATAGTGACTAGCAATTTTTAATCTATGCATTACACACCTAATGTGGACCTAGCTTTCAACAGCGTATAACACGTTACGAGAGATGCTGAAAGGGGCTGGTTGCTACGTTATGTGCATGCTAATGGGGTATGTTTCTCATTGAGTCATTGTAATTCACCTTCATGATTTTTGTTGCCTATATCATGCCAGTTATAGCAGTCTTAGGAAATTTGAGGATGGGATTAGCCTATATTAAGCGAGTCATGCCGTCGAATAGAAAATCAAAATTAGAATCTTTCTGTTTTTATTTGGGATACAATTTGATAGCTTCAACTATCTAAGAACCAAAGAAATGACTAAAATATATGTATTGTATTATCAATGGCAAATTTGAGGGTGCCGGCAACTCCAGAAGATAAAAGAAAGGAAGAAGATGAAGTTTGTTACAACTGAAATCGATACCCACTATGGGTTCACCACCAGTACTAAAAGGCAACAAAATTACAACTCAGCTAAAGACACAACATACGATGGGCCTCTCAATACTAGGCCCATTATCTTTATTCTAATCTGAAATGCTAAATAAGGGTTGGGCCTCACCACTACCTGGCCCATGACTTACTAAACTTCTAACTCGTAGTCACAAAGTCCTCTAACCATTGTGGTTTCTTCTTCACCCTTTGTCCTTCTCTGCGTCGACTAGCCATGCCTTCATCAAGACTACTCTGCCTCTCTTGAGCAGTAGCAGTGGAGTTGTCCGTATCAATTCCCTCCCCGCTTAAAGACACGATCTTGTCCTCAAGATCGAAGCTTGGAAAAGCTTGACAAAGTTCTAAGTAAGAAACCCAGGTAGCATCCTCCAACGGTAGTTCCTCCCATTGGACTAAAAGTTGTAAAGTCTCCTCCTTTCCCAATTGCAAAGCATGGGTCCGAAGGACAGCAACGGGTTTGGTGACTGGTTGATTGTCCCAGCTCACAGGCGGAACTGGAGCAGAGTGAAAGGTTGGATTTTGCCGATACGGTTTGAGAAGCGACACATGAAACACAGGATGGATACGGGATTGTTCGGGTAGCTGCAACCGATATGCCATCAGGCCCATGCATTCAGTAACCGAAAAAAGACCATATAAGCGGCGGCGCAGCTTTGGTTGCGCACTGAAAGTTGACAATATGGTTGAAGCTTAACGAGTACTAGATCTCCTAACACGAACTGTACATCACAGCGTTTCTTGCCAGCCTGAGCCTTCATTCGTTGTTGTGTCCGGCGTAAATTCTCTCGGAGCTGACGTAGTATTTCATCCCGACGAGTTAGAAGGGCGTCAACAGCTTTTACAGGGGTTGGGGTGCCGTCATATGGTTGGACACCAGGAGGAAGTCGTCCATAGACCGCTTGGAAAGGGGATACCCCAATCGAAGAGTGGTACGCTAAGTTATAGGAAAACTCAGCCCAAGGTAAGTATTGTACCCATTGCTTCGGTGATTCCATAGTGTAGCAACGCAAATACTGTTCTAATCCTCTGTTTGTCACCTCTGTTTGTCCGTCTATCTCCCGGTGATTTGTCGTGTTGTAGCAGAGCTTGGTGCCGCTTAATCGAGCTAACTCAGCCCAGAATTTGCTTACAAAGATGCGATCCTTGTCTGAGACAATAGAACGAGGAATCCCATGTAAGTGGCAGACATTGTCCACAAACACTGAAGCTACTTTAGTGGCTGTGAAATTTGCAGGCAAGGCTATAAAGTGAGCATATTTGGACAGTCTATCAACCACCACCATGATTGCAGTCTTCCCTTCTGAATTTGGTAGTCCAATGATAAAATCCATGGACAAATCTTCCTAAATCACCTGCGGAATCGAGAGTGGTTGGAGTAATCCCGCTGGGGAAAGAGGCCGATATTTAGTCACCTGACAAACAGGACAAGGTCACAAATTCCTGCACATCACGCTTTAGATTGGTCCAGCACTCGATGCAAGGTCTTTCTAACTCCACCATGACCTCCGAGTAAGGATGAATGAAATTCATGGAGAATGGCAATACGAAGCTCTGAAGTAGAAGCTATCACAATTCGCCCCTTGAAGAGCACAAGTCCTTCCTGCCAACTGTAGTGTTCGTAGCCTTCAGCTCTCTTCTCAATATTCTCCTTTAACTAGATTAACTCTTTATTAGTCTGAACCTCTCTTTTAATTTGATCAATCAGGTTGTTATTCACCTTGGTGATGACCATTGCAAATCCTTCTACCCCTACCATCGGTGGTTCATCTTCGGGTTTCCTTGAAAGAGCATCTGCTACCTTGTTCTCCGCCCCCGAAAAATACTCATTGGTGTAATCAAACCCAAGTAATTTGACCAAGAAGCGTTGTTGTTCCGGGGTTTGTATAACCTGCCCCATCATCTCCTTGAGACTTCTCTGGTCAGTTCTGATAATAAAAAGGTCCCCTAATAGGTATTGTCTCCATATAGCAACTCCTTCAGTGATAGCAAACATCTCCCTCACATAAGTCGAAGCTTGTTGCATCTTAGGGTTGAGTTTCTTGCTAAAATAAGCTATAGACTTATTGTCCTGACTTAACACTGCACCAATTCCCACTCCAAACGCATCGGTGGTCATACAAATGTCTTATTAAAATCTGGCAAGGCCAAAATTGGGGGATTCGACAAAGTCCTCTTCAGTTCTAACATAGCCTTCTCAGCTCCTTCATTCCAACCAAATGCATCCTTATGCAGTAAAGCCGTTAAGGGGGCTGCAATTTGTTAGAAGCCACGAACAAACTTGCGATAATACCCTACGAGCCCAAGAAAACCTCTCAGTTGTTTAATGGCGGTTGGTTGTTTCCACTCCATTATTGCCTGAATTTTTCCCACATCCGGTCTTAACCCGTTTGTATCCACTATGTGGCCTAAGTATTCAACTTCTCTTTGAGCAAAAGCACACTTCGATCTCTTAGCATACAGTCGGTGTTGTCTCAGACATTCCATGACCTTCCGGAGGTGTTCTACATGCTCCCATACTGATTTACTATATACCAGGATGTCGTCAAAGAAGACGATAACAAACTTGCACAGAAATTCCTTCAGTACTGAGTTCATAATGCCTTGAAAGGTTGCTGGTGCATTAGTGAGCCCAAAGGGCATCACAACAAACTCATAATGTCCCTGGTGTGTTCTAAAAGTTGTTTTGTAAATATCTGGTGGTGCCATCCTGATTTGAAGATATCTGAAACGTAGGTCCATCTTGGAGAAGATCACTGCCCCCGTCAATTCATCTAGCATCTCGTCCACAGTTGGAATTGGGAACCAGTTTGGTATAGTGACTTGGTTCAAGACCCTATAGTCAACACAAAACCTCCAAGTTCCATCCTTCTTTTTCTCTAATAGAGCTGGAAAGGAGAAAAGACTTAAACTTGGCCTAATGATTCCTGTGTTTAGCATTTCTTTCACCATTTTTTCAATTTCAGCCTTTTGAAAATGTGGATACCTGTATGGCCTAACGTTTACTGTTCTTGTACCAGGTTCTAGGTGGATTTGATGATCCTCCACTCAAGAAAGAGGTAGCTGCTGGGGCGTATCAAATATATCCTCATAATCCTGTAGCACTGGTTGAATCAATGAACTGTGGCACTCCTCTATTTTCGACTCCTTTGGGGTCTCATGATTCATGGCTTTCAACTGATAGTAAATGGCCATGGCGTCTGAATTTGCCAATCTGCGAAGCTGATGCAACTCAATGGGTTCCACTTGTACCTTCGGTTCCCCTGCAATTCTATCATTTTTCCATCCCTCTTAAACTTCAAAACCAATTTTTTGTAGTTAGTAGTAATATCTCCAAACTTCGACAACCATTGGACACCTAACACCACCTCAGCCCCTTGGATAACGAACAGGTCTGGAAAAAAAATATGCCCTCGTAATTCCAGTTTCACTCTTCAGCAGACTCCCTTGCACCCTAAACTTTCTCCATTGCCTACTAATACCTTAAACTGAGAAATTGGCTTATCTCCAATCCCAGAAATCTGACCATTCTTTCTTGCACGAATTTGTGGGTAGACCCTCCATCCACCAAAACTTGTATAGGGTTCTTGTTAATAACTCTTTTCAATCTCAGTGTACTAGATGAATATTGCCCATCCATAGCGTGTAAGCTAATTCCAGGTACTTCCTCTTCACCTCCAATCTTCTCATTATTAACTTCTAATTCAGCATCCTTCTCATCTTCATCGGCATCCTGTGTCAACATTAGGAACATTTTCCCCTTGCACACATGGTTCCGGTTGAATTTTTCATCACAATAGTAGCACAATCCCTTTTCTCTTTTCTCCATCATCTCTGCAGCTGGCAATCGCTTGATTGGTATGGTATTTTTTGACATTCCAGCATTATTTATAATTCCTTTGGCAGGGGTTGGTAGTAATCCTATTTGGTTTACAACAACGTTGCTGGCATAATTCTTCGGATTTGCAAAGTGTGCCGGAGCTCGATCATTTAGTTTATCCTCCACCACCTTGGCCAATTCCATAGCATTCTCCAAGGAGTCAGATAGATGCAACCTGACTTCCTTCCGAATTTCTGATTTGAGTCCAGATTCGAAGTAGCTTTGCAAGGTAAGGTCATCAATTCCTATGAATTGATTGGATAGCTGCTCAAACAACTTCTGGTATTCCTCCACCGTGGTATTCTGTGTCAACCTTCCCAATTATCCTCTTAAGTCTCTATACTTGGAAGGACCAAATCTGG